ACATTCACATGGCCGCACACAACACAGAGACACTCACATGCACACACACACACACAGACGGCACTCACATGCAGCACACCAGAACACTTCCATGCCACACACAGCACAGAGACACTCACATGCACACACACAGAGACACTCAACATCACCACACGAGACAACTCACATGGGCAACACACACACAGACACATGCACACACAACAGAGACACTCCATGCACACACACCACAGACACTCACCCATGCACACACACAGAGACCTCACATGCACAACACAACAGAGACACTCACATCAAACACACACAGAGCGAATCTCACATGCACACCCCACAGAGACACTCACACAGCACACAACACACAGAGACACTCCACATGCCACACACACCACTCGAGACCACCTCACATGCACCACACGACAGAGACAGCTCACATGCACACCACACACAGAACACTCATCGGATGCACACACACACAAGACAGCTCACAAGCACACACACAGCAGAGCACTCAACATGCACCACACACACTGAGACAACCACATGCACCACACACAGAGAACACCGCCAACGGCACACACACACAGAGACACTCACATGCACACACACAGAGAGACCTCACATGCACACACACACAGAGACACTCACATGCACACACACAGAGACACTCACATGCACACACACAGACACTCACATGCACACACACACTCACATGCACACACACAGAACACTCACATGCACACACACACAGAGACACTCACATGCACAGACACACAGACACTCACATGCACACACACACAAGCACAAATCACATCGCACACACAGACACTGCACCATGCACAGCACACAGGCAGAGCCTCACGATGCAGCACACACACAGAGACACTCACATCGCACACACAGCAGAACACTCAACATGCACCACACCACAGACACTCACATGCCACACCAGACACGTCACATGCCACACACACAGAGCACAGCTCAATGCACACACAGCACAGAGACACTCACAAGCAACACACACAGAGACACTCACCATGCACCACACACAGCACTCACATGCCCACACACGACAGAAACGACAACTTCACACCCACGAGACACTCACCATGCCCACAGCACACAGAGACACTGCACCAAAGCACACACAGCACAGAACCTCCATGCCACCACACACACAGCTCACATGCCACACACACACAGACACTCACACTGCACCACACACAGAGACCTGCACCATGCAACACCACACAGAGACACTCACAAGCCACCAACACACACATGGAGAAAGCAGAGACAGAGACAAGCGGAGCAGGACGCAATGCAGTGGCAGCCTGGCCGCACACTGGCCAGTCTCGCTGGGCAAATCCTGCCCTGGCCTCCTTTGGAGTCCGGGCTCCTGGAGGCCCAGAGCCTCACTCCCCCCAGTGGGCTTCCAGAGAAGCGGGGGGGGTTGGTTTCTGCCAGAGCTGCAGAGGATCCAGCGAAGCACCCAAACTCGCCTGCTCCAAAGACTCACCTGCTTCAACCCTTGGCAAAGCCAGAGCTGTCTCCCAGTCTGAGCCCTGGCGGCTCTGCTTCCTCTGTTCTAGCCGGCCGCGATCCCATTGCTCCTGACGCTAACGGATGGCCCGCTTCCAAGCAGCAGCGGTGTGGGTGAGGCTCAGGGAGCTGAGGGGCTGTTCTGTTCTAACCGCAACCGAAAGCTCGCTTCCTTTAGAAGTAGAGAAATTGAAACTGGCAAGGCCGCGGGCGCGTGGCTCACGCCTGTCACCCCAAGCACTCTGGAGCCGAGGCGGGAGGATCCGCTCGAGGTTCAGAAGTGTCCAGACAAGCCTGAGCAAGAGCGAGCCCTCTCTACTATCACTAGAAAGCCTTAGCAACACCCCTAAAAAAAAAAAACATATATATATATAGTTAATAGCCGGGCTGGTGGCGCATGCTGTAGTGCCCAGCTACTCAGGAGGAGGCTGTGAGGCCAGGAGGCTCGCTTGACCCAGGATCTGTAGGTTGCTGTGAGCTAAAGCTGATGCCCACGCGACACTCACTCTAGCCCGGGGCAACAAAAGTGAGACTTTGTCTCAAAAAAAAAAAAGTAAAGAATTGCATTGCAAAAAAATAAAAAATAAAAGAACGCCATGGTTACCTCCACCCCAGTGAAATCGTGTCGCAAGCCCCGGGCGGGCAGAAGGACGACTTTTCAGCGCCGTTAAAGCACCGTGGAAGTCATTAGCCTCAGCTGCGGCAGCGAACGGGGGCGAGCGAGCCAGCGCCTCTAAGTGGCTCCGCGCGCAACGAGGCTGCGGGAGACCCCCAGCTCCATGCAGGCAGCCGCCTTGGCACGCGCAGCTCTGGCACGAGCGCCTCTCTGCAATCATCTCGCACTATTTTTTGGGCATCACCCCCAGGCCCCTCCACGCCTTCGACCCCGAGGTCGTAAGAGTGCTGGGAGACCTCCTCCCGCCACCCCTCCGCGCATTACGGTTCTCGCCAGCCCGGCCGGCCCGCGCCTGCCCGAGGGGGTCACACCC